TGTGTGTGTGTGTGTGTGTGTGTGTGTGTGTGTGTGTGTGTGTGTGTATTCCTCAGGTGTGGACAGATTCAGCAATGATATTCAGCAGATGATGGGATTCAAACCAGGACTGTACTGGAGACTCTGCTGGAAATTTGTGAGCCCAGCATTCCTATTGGTGAGAAGTTTGGATGTTCCAAAGAAGGAGGTGGAATTATATCCCCAGGGATGTGAGGGCTGTGGAAAACTTTGAAAATAATAATATTGTAGTTAATTTAGAGGCATCTCTTTCTTGTCACTTTCCATGGATTCAACTATCATATCTATCTAGAAGGTTTCTAGATTGATATATTCAGTTCTAGTCTCTTTCCTGAGGTTCTGTCTCACCAACTGCCAACTCAACCCTGGTTGGATGTCCCATAGGTATCTCAAACTCAGCATGTCCAAAAAACTTATTATCTCCCCCACTAACTATCTGGCCAACCCACCCTTCTTCCAGACTTCCCTATTACTGCTAAAGACATCATTTCCCTGTCATCCAATTTCTCAACCACAAAGTCATCCTTGACTTCTTATACTCATCCCACATAGGCAGTATGGTGGCAAATACTGTCATTTCTTCATTCACAGCATCTACTGTCTAACAACTATCACATTTTATTCAGGTCCTCATTACCTCTTACCTAGACTATTGCAATAGCCTTTTAACTGGCCTCCCTTTGTAAACTCTCCTCCTAATAAAATACATTCTTCGCTTAACCAATAAGGTGGTTTTTCTAAAACTGACCACATCACTCCTGTAATCAATAAACATCAGTGGCTCCCTACTCCAAGATAAAATATAATGTCCTCTTTTGGCATTTAAAGCTCTTTACAAACTGGCCCTTTCCTGCCTTTCTAGTCTTCTTACCCCTTACTCCTCTTCACATACTCTATAATCCAGCTAAACTGGCCTATTTGCTGTTGCTCATATGTGATTCTCCATCTCCTGACAAAATGCTTTTGCAATGTCAGTTCATTAGACCTGGGAATGCTCTTTTCTCATCTCTATTTCTTTGCTTCACTGACTTTCTTCAAGACTCAGTTCAAATCTCATCTTCTGTAGATCTGCTTCCAGTCTTCCCCAGACACTTCTCTGAGATCACCTTCCATCTGCTACTACTATGTATATTTACATTTACATATTTACATACATATATGTAAATATATCATGTACATTGTTCTTTACTTCTTGTTTTCCTCATTAAAATGTGCAGTCTTTGAGAAGAGGGATCATTTTCACCCCTTTCTCTGTATCACCAGTGCTTAGCACAATGTCTGTCATATATCATACTTCACAAATACTTGTTGACTAACTGACTTTTCCCAACTAGGCCTGATTTGTAATGCCTCACTCTCCTGCTCTGAATTTTTACCTCTTTATTATTAGTTTCATTCTCACTTTCTTCCTCTTCTTTCCTTCTCTTCACTTTCTTCCCTTTCCTCTATAGTCACAGAATCTCAAATTTGGGAAGGACCTCAGAGGTCATCTAGTTTAAACTTCACATGACCAAGAATTTCTTCTACAAGATCCCAAGCAAGTGACCATCTGGGCTTTGCTTGAAAGACTCTAGTGAGAGAGAACATATTACCTCCCAAAACAACTGACTGCACTTTAGACAACTCTGATTATTAATAATGTTGTCTTTATATTGAACTTAAACTTATGTCTCCATAATTTCCATCTATTGATCCTGGTTCTGTCTTCCAGAGCCAAACAGAGCAAGTCTAGTATTTCTTCCATATCACTGTGTTTTCAATACTTAAAGACAATTACCATGTTCCTCCTTTGTTTTCTCTTCTCTAGGCTAAGCATTCTACTTCCTTCAACTAATCTTTGTATTGAAGGTTCTCTATTCCCCTCCTCATTCTCTTCTGGATGCTCTTTGAGTTATTAATGGTATTGCTAAAACATGGCAGTGAGAATTAAATGCAATATTCTAGATTAATCCCCATCAAAACAGAATACATTGGGGTTCTTACTAGGCAGTCTGATCACAGTAGTTTTGGGTAAGTGTGTGAGCTATCATGTTGTACAATTTACATATATTAAGCTATAGTCCACTAAAGCCCTCAGTTTTTTTTTTAATGGACTATCTTCTGAGCACACTTCCCCATCCAGTGTTTGTGAAGATTCTAGTCACATTCTTTTTTCCAATTCTCTTCTCCTCCTCTCACTTTCCACTCACTTCATCCTCTCTCTTTTCTCTCTGACCTCTTTTTCCTGCATTGCTATCCTTTCCTCTTTTATTTTTCCTTACTTTGTTCCTTATTTCCACTATTTACTTTTCTCTTCTTCTTCTTACTTTCTTTCTATCTTCACTCAAAAACATTTATCAAGAATATACTATGTATATGCTAGGTACTATTCTTAATTCTCTGTGTGTCTTCCACTCTCTCTCTTTTTCTTGAGGGCAAGAACTGTGTACTCCATATATCGTTACCCCAAGTATCCAGTATAGGATTTTGTACAGAATAAGTGCTTGGTATTTGTTAAGTTGACTTGAGTTATCTCCTTCCCTTCTTAGTTTGTGGTGGTTGTCAGCATCATAAACTTCAAACCACTCAACTATGATGACTATGTCTTCCCTTTGTGGGCCAACTGTGTGGGCTGGGGCATTGCCCTCTCCTCCATGGTACTAGTACCTGCCTATATTATCTACAAATTCCTGAGCTTGAAGGGCTCCCTAAGAGAGGTAAGTACTCTAGACTGGGCAGAATCAAGGGCTGATTACACAGAGTTGGGGAATATGGGCAACATTTTCTGCCATTCAGCACCCATAAAAAAGAATTAGTAGTTTGGGTTTAGGGTTTCAGATTACAAGCTACGGAAGGGACTTTATAGATCACTAATCCATCCTTCTGATTTTATAGATAAAGAAACTGAGCTTCAGAAAGGAGACATAGCTTTATCAAGGTCCCATAGGAATCTAATGTCAGATCAAGGACTACTCTTATATTCTGTTAAAGTTGTAAGAAACCTTAGAAATCAGAGTTATCTCTTTCTTCATTATTTTATTTCACAAATGAGGCCCAGATTATAAAATTGACCAGGATTATAAAATTATTGACAGGCAAATTTGGGATTCAAACCCAGATCTTCCCAAGTTTTTTTGAGTCTTTGTTAATTTTTTCCTATGTTGTCCATTGGAAAGCAAGTTTGGATGGTAAAAGCTATTATGGGAGAAAATATAAATTCCTTGAGGGCAAGGACTGCTTGTCATTTTGGATCTGTATCATTCCCAACTCCTACCTAGTACTTGCTGAGAGTCAACACTTAACAAGTGTTTCTTGTTATTGCTGTGATACACTTCCACACAGAACACCAAAAAATGTGGTACTTAGTATTGCAGAGCCTTTTTTAACTCCTGGCCCTCAGATGCTAATACTCTCCTTCTCAAAAACTACCTTGAATTAATTTTGTATCTCTCCTATATATACTTATATATTCACACATTCTACCCCACCCTCGGTATAATGTAATCGCCTTGAGATTAAGGACCATTTCACTTTTGTCTTTGTATTTTCAGTGTTTAACACAGTTCCTGTCACATAGTGATTAATAAATACTTGTTGATTGACTGCTTGGAGGTTGTGTTATCCAACCACATCATTTTTACAGAGAAGGAAAAGGCCTAGAGAGGAGAGATGACACACTGGTAATTTGTAGAGTTACTAGGACTTGAATCCAGGTCCTCTGACTCTAATGTTCTGTCTGCTATATTATGCCATGAGTCTCTGAAAGAACTTAAAATCAGTAGATCTCTTACAGAGTACAGAGGCCACAAAGCCTTATTTTTTCCCCTTGAATCCCCTGTAGTACCTACACATAGTAGGAGTTCATGAAATACTAATCTATTTTCTTGATGACAAATCCAAATTTTCATATGCTAGGCTCACTTAAAGGGATGTTAACCTGCATTCTCACTGGATAAATAGGTTTTTATAAAATGGTTTGCTATGTATTTTATATACAGTGCACATAGAGGGTTGAGGAAATAGTAGAGATGCTTATTCATTCATTCATTCATTCACTTATTTATTTATTATTTTTTTTTTATTTGAGTCAACCCCTTCATTCACTTACTAGAGCAGCCCCATTGAATTTGAGTGGCAGCAGGCATATTCAGGAAGCACTGACCTCTTTTCTCTTTCTCTGCTTTATTCTTAGAGACTGGCTTACTGCATAACTCCAGAAAATGAGCACCACCTTGTGGCACAAAGGAACGTCAGGCAGTTCAAGGTTTGTGCCTGTCCCTGAACTTCTTCCTCCCCAAGAAACTCATGGCTGGAACAGGTCTCTGGGCTAGCGGTCGAGTCATCATGTTTATGTGTCAGATATAGAACCACCGATGAAAATATAGAGTAAAATCCAACAGTTTGGGGAGTTTCACAAATTTCCTAGAATTATAATTTAGTTTACAGTAGGGTTTGGAGAAAAGTATAAAGTTACAGTACCTGGGATTTGGTGACCAAAACTATGTTCCCCACAGTTTATAGAATGTAAAAGCTGTAGGAGAGCTTTAGAAATCACCTAGACCAAACCTCTCAGTTTATGGGTAGGGAAAATGAGACCCAGAAAGGCACAATGACTCACCCAAAGTCACACAGCTGGCATTTAGTATATTGCAGAGTACATTCAGCCAGGACTCTAATCCAGGATATCTACTCCAGTGTCCTTTCTCCTATGCAGTGCTCCCTACATCCTGAGTGGTCCTTGTTTGTTTGTTTTTTTTTTTCCTTTCTCTTATTCTCCCATTCTTCCATGCATTTTGAATGATGGGTTGTTGGGAATAATGTGGGGAGCTGAAATAATATGCAAAGTGTGGAAATAGAAAAAAGGCAAATGTGAGGAGTTAGTGAAGGGAGAATAAAGAAGAATAAAGAAAACAGAGGAGTATAAAGTGGGCATAATGAGTGGAGAAAGGGTACAACTTGGTTAGGGTGGCATATGTGGGAAAGATTGCTTCTTATTAAAATTAGAACGAAACAGTTCCACTTTCATAGCTTTTCTTAATTTTTTTTTCTTTTCTCCCATCCCTTGGGTATCTTGGTCATAGTATGGAATAGAGCAGGGGATTGTTCAAAACACTGGATGGATTGGTCAATAGAAAGAAGGTAGTGAGATCCTAAGATTTCTGAAGAGGTCAATTCTTAGAGAAGCAACATCATGTATTGGATAGAGCACTGGAGTCAGGAAGGCCCGGGCTTAAACCCTATCTCTAACATTTACTAGTTGTGTGACCTTGGGGAAATCACAACCTCTCTTAGCCTCAATTTCCTCATTCACAAAATAAGAGTGTAGGATGTGATGGCCTCTAAGATGCCCTTTCTACCTCTAAATTTACAATCCCTTCTCTTTCTAAACCTTTGGCACATACAACTTTGAAAATCACCACCTCGACTCTGCTCCAGACCAGTGTTCTGTTTCAGAGGTACTAGGAACAGAATTGTGGGAGGACATCATGGCTGTCCATCTCATTGATCATTATCCTTAAAGAATATGGGCATGTTCCAGACATACCTGACTTTTGTGGTAGCTCATTGATGTCAGATTTTGTTCATTCAAGGATCTAGTGATTTCATCAGTGGAGTAGTCCATCCACTGATTAAGATTACTACTCCTCCCTGCCTAGCAGTTACTTTGCAAGCAACTCTGAGTAGGAAAACAAACAAACAAACAAAAAAACAACATCATTGCCTCAAGGTCCACTTTTTAGTGATGAGTTTCTCTACACTGAGCTAGGCTGATACTTATATAACAGACATAAAGTCACTCACTGGGTCCAAATTCAGACACTTGTAGACACTTATGTGACCTGAAGGAAACTATAATTCCCACTGTCTCAAAGATGCCATGAAATTGACTCTGGGGGATTCTGTCACCTTTACCTTCTTTCTTAGTTTGCCTGATTGCACAATAGCCAGTACCTAAAGAATTAAAATCCTTTAAATCCATGTAGGCCCCAATTCTTAAAGAATCTTTTCTTTTTCAGCTCCAGCACTGGCTAGCGATCTGACTGCACTCACCTGAGGAGGAACCCTATCTTCTGTGACACGTTCAAATGAGATTAGTGACAATGTCAAGATTAAAGCCCTCTGGATTGTATTTCACCCATCATTCTTGAGTTGACTCATGGATTGTCTTAAGGGAAGAGAATTTTCCTAAAAACTTATTTTCCTTCACTCAGTTACAAATGAATTCAATGAATCTGGTCTTTGTTTTCCTTTGAGTCATCAGTTTTATGGTCTAGTTCCTGAAATAGATTTGGTAAGGCTTAGGGGAGATACGGGATGTGAAGGGAACTGGAGAGACTTATGTACCTTCACTCAAAGCCTCTATTACATGGGAAATAGTCAAGATAAGATAGTTGTCGATGGCTAATGCTGGTAAACTCTTATTTAATCAGTTGGTTATCACATTCTCTTTGAGAGCAGGCTGCAGGGACAGTCACTGGAGAAAGATGTTGCTTGCTGCTATTCCTAATGTCTTACTGGGCTAATTCCGTATCCTTCTAAATTATATGGTATGAATTGATACTTTGTTTTTCTCAGTCCTGCCCTTGGCTAATACTTTGGTTTTCCAGAGAAGGAGAATGGGAGAGCTGGGTCATTTCTGCTCCATTTAAGTTGTGATGAGATGGATGGGTTTGGAATTATAATTTAGGGAGCCATAGATGATGCTCTAAGTTATTCTCTGATGTATTTTTTTAGTAGTGGAAGGTGCTTATCCAAAACTAATTATTAGGAGAGTTTTATTTATCATGTGAGTTAGGTTCATTTGCCTTGTTCAGTTGGCATCAATACTTCAGTGGATCCATGATTCATTGCTGTGGGTGCTCCCTCCTCTGGTGCAGATTGCAATCCCTCCACACACTTTCCTATCCTGGGGAATTCTTGTGCATATATTTATATCAATTCTGCATAAGGGATGCTGGAGGTATTCCTCTGGGTTGTTATTTCATGAATACTGGTGCAGCACTCGGAGACTTCCAGCAGCTTAAATGTTTCATAGGCATATCTTCTTCACCATGTTTTCTGGTATTTCTTCCAAAAAGAAAAAAAAAGAATCTCAGTCCATAGCTATATATGTATGAAACCTGTAATTCTTTAAAATGATGGTTTTATTCTGATCCAGAGAAACCAGATCCCCAACTTTGCTGTGGTATGCAATGAGGCCTCCCTTTCTGCCCTTTCTCATTAAATAACTGTAGTCAGCTCTTGAATTCTGTGTTCATTGAAAGCAGCAGTGGCCTGGATAATCCAAAAATGATTCCCATTTGTCCTTGGGATGACCAGTAAGCTTATTATTTTGTTTTGTTTTTTGGCAACAACTCTACCTTCATAGTTTGTTGTCATTCAGGCTTCTTTTTAATGGGATTTTTCATTACTATAGGAGGTGGGAGGGTGAAGCAGGAGCCTTCTAAGGGGCAAGGATCAGCTGCTCTGGATTAAAGATACAGCATGGGGAGCTCACAAGTAGAGCTGCCGCAAGTAAGTGGATAACTGAGAAATGGCTACATCTACTTAACAATCATAGAAATGTATGGTGCTGTTCTTATTCTGTTCAGCTGAGATGTAGGAAAGCTCATTATTAGTCCTTGGGGTTGACCTAGTTGACTTTGGGATTTCTCTTAGGGGAATGAGAAAGAGTGCCAGAATTATGCAGCTGATGGTATTTTCAGCTTGGGACTTAGCTTCTTTGCCTAGTGCCAAAATACAGCTTTGCCATTTTATTATGTTTATTTGTTTTTAAGTCTATAAAGGATTCAGATGTAAAACACTCTGTGTTACAACATGGGCTTCCATCTTTGGGATTCCCATCCCAAAGCTCTCCCCTTGACATTTTATTAGCAAAGATAGATGTGCTGGCCATTTCCCAGAAGTTAAGAGGGAAAGCGTGTATGTAGTGGGACATTACATTAAGTAAAAAGAATTCTCATTTCTGTAGGACTTTGATATTTAGAAATCTCTTTCCTCATAACAACCCTATTAGGTCAGCAGTGCCAGTATTTTTATTCCCATTTTGCAGATAGGAAAGTAAGGCTCAGAGAGTAAGCTCAATGATTTGCCTAAGATCATATAACTACTAAGAGTCAGAGTTGGAATTCAAATTCACATCTGCCAGCTCCCAAGTCAGCATGCTTTCCGCCTCTCAAAAAAAAAATGAGTCAATAGGGAATTAGCCAACTGACCTAAAAGATGTATCAATTTAGGTCAGGTTCAGGCTGGAGAGTACTTTAATTGGATGTCCCAGTTCAACAGTTTTAGGTAATGTTAGCTTGAACTGGTTCATATTTACTCTTAAAAATTAGGGAAAAAATATTACTACTTGAATTTGGTTTGGAGTTTGGCCCAATTAATGCTGGCTGTTTCTGTTTCTGGTTCACAGCTCAGCGTAGCTGCAGCCCTATTGAGAGTAAGGACTCAGGTTCTCATCACAGTGCTGTGTTGCTGAAAGTCACTTCTTTGCCCACATATGTGGGCTATCTATCTCTTGAAAACTTCAGGCAGAAGTTGTTACCTAAGTGGTTTACATTCCAGGCTATTATCTCCTTGCTGTCCTACCCCAAGTCTAGGTCTCTTTTCTCACAAATCTCCCCCAAATTTTAGATTGTTAGCTGTACATATATTTGATCTCTCCTCACTCCACACACACACACACACACACACACACACACACACACACACTCACACACTAAGGATTATGCAGTGTCAGGGAGGGAAACAAGAGAAGCATGGAGAAATAGTACTTACTTTTGGAAAATCCAAAGGCCTGAAATGTGGCCTTCAGTTTTCTACCTACCAGAAGTCCCACAAATTAGTACATCACATTCCTGCCCTATTGGGGACTTCCCACTACAAAATAAAAAACAAAACAAAACAAAAAAAAACAAAAAAAGAATCACAACAGAACCTTGAAATGTTTTCCTGAACATTTGAGTTACTGTAAATGGAAGCCCAGGCAACTCTGTTCCCAAATGATAATGATAAAAATAGATATGGTAGTCACACAGGAAGTGAATGACTCTGTAGACTATGAAAAAAAAATTTTTTTAATTTTTGTTCTTACGCTAAAAATGTATTAAAGAAAACAAAATATGTAGCTTTTGTTTAAACAATCAGAAGTTTAATTCCCCAGCCTGGGTCATGGTCATACTGGTCTGGTGGACAGGTGTTCCATATTCCCTTGATTTCTTCCATTCAGCTTAAAGGTAGAGAATTGGTTCATTCACTAAATACATAGGCATGCGTCATGAATGCCATGGTTACCTGGTAGGGACAACCTAGACCTACAAACATAAGGATTGCTTTCCTAGGTAAATACTGAGGCCTATCAATCCCAGGATTCTCTCTTGACAGGGGCATCCAAAAAGGGTTTTAGGGGAAATCAGATATCATTCTCTAGAGATTCAAAGTATGTCTCCCAAGGAATTCATTATGGACCTATCATTTCTAGTGCCTCAATTAATACCACTAAATCACAGTGCTGCCTCATGAAAGTACTTTGAGTTTCAGGGGTAGAATTTTTCAGTTACAAAATAAAGTTCATAGGATATTCCTAGAAGACAGGAGTTGAAGCAGAGAAGGATTATTTATTTCTTCCAATTCTTTTTGGTAGATGGCAAGAATGGCTCAAAGACTGAACCATTAGAGTTTAGCCATGGTTTGGAAATCTATATCCATAGTTAAAGGTAAGGGCAAGCAGTGTCACTGGGAGCCACACCTTTGGTATGTGACACCATTATGGGAACTGAGTAGTAAGACTTTGTAATTAAGATTTATGCTGAAAGTGGTATGAAAATTCAAAATCACGGTAGCTCTTAGAATACCACTTGCTCCTTCCTCCCTCAGCTGATTATTAGTATGGGAAGCTAGAGATCTTCAGTGTTATGATTCAAGAGCTGTCGCATTCAAATGGCTGAGATGTGTTACTTGCGGGAAAAAAAAAGACAAAACAAAGTAGTGGAAGGGAAGAGGAGTGAGGGCATCATTTATTTTCTTCTAGTCGTTTGCCAAAGGGTAATTATTCAGTTTCTGTGCTTTGATTACAATAATCACTCTTTGGAGAGTGAGTCATGAAAAGAAGAGGACATTTGGAGGAATGGATGAGGACAAAACCTCAATGGATGTATAATATCTGATAGAGGAATGGGGTGGCAGATTAGTTCAAAGAAAGCCTTTTATTTTTCTGTAGCCATCTGCAATTCTTCAGTCTCTAGATGGTTTAAACAAAGAAAAAGAAGTGGTCCTAGCTTAGAAGTTCTATAATGCCAAGTTGTCTCTACAAAATGAACTCTCCAAGGCTAGATCATTTACCTGGGAGGTGACTTGTATCTCTAGTATAGATAGATGAGTACTCTCTCTTTGACCAGTGGAAAGCACTCCACACTGGTAGATTTGAGGTCATTGATGAGGATACACACAGTCACTGGGTTTGCAGTAATCTTTCAGGGTTTGCCTTACATTCAGAAGCTTTGTAGAGAGGAGTTTCTTTGTTTACATAAGTAATATTCTACTTAGTTTTTACTGCTTTTTTATAGTAGAGGTTCCCTGTAATATGGGTACCTCTGCCTATTGCATATTGCACTTTTGATATTTTTCCAGGCCCTTCTCCATTGCCTCCATTTTTTTTGTAAAGGGACAAATGCTTTTAAAATCAGAAAATTAGTTATTAGGTAATCATTTGGTCTCACAGAGGCCATCTCTATACCACGAACCTATTGTAAGATCTGTAAGCCTTCCAATTGAAAAACATGTGATCAAGAAGAATGGAGTGTTGCCAACTAAAACCAGATACACCATATTCTATAGTCCCCAATGATGCCTTAACTTCTCAGAGAGACTTCCTGGGCTCTGTGTTTTCTCTTCTCAAGAAATCAGTGTAAGTATCTAGCTTGAGTAATCAGGAACTGAAGAAATCTACCAAAGAGGTTATTTCATAGGAAAGAAGTTATACTGAGGTCAATTCTCTTAGAAAACTTTTAGAAGGAGTGGCATACTTCATGCTAAATTCAAGATAGAGCCTCATTTGTCACTCCAATTATCTCCAAAGTGATTATAAATATAGTGAGCAAAGAGATTTGATTTCTCCAAGTTGTACCCAAGACTTATATCCACCATTCTAGCAATTTCCTTTTGCAGTTGTTTAATGAGAGAGAGAGAAAGAAAAAGAAGAAAAAGAATTCAATTAACCTCATGTTCCAATTTTTCTTTTTTGTTAAGGAATCTGAGAGTAACATATCTACATTTGAATGCAAATAAAAAGCTTGATTGACCCTGTTCCTTACAAAACTTAGGTGTATGTGATGTATACTGTTGTTGTATATGCTCAAGATGTTGAAAGCTCTGGTGAATGCAGTCTCTTCTGAGATATCTGCCTCCCTTCTTCAATCTATGTGCTTTAATGTAAATAAAGACTGTTTTCAAGTGATTTCTTCTCTATGTCATGGGTTGTTCCAATACTATATGAATTATCATGTCTGACCTAGATTTATTTTAAAACCTGTTTTCCATCAAGGAAATAAAGATAGAACAATAAAGGATATCTTCTATGCCATCTATATTTTTTCTTCTTTTATGATTGTACGCCTGTGTTTCATAATTCTTTCAGCTTAACAAATCATTTTATTAATATATTTGATTTTATATCAACTATATTTCCTAATGTATTCTTGCCTCCTCTTTTAGAGCTATTCCTTATAATAAAGAATAAAAAAGAGAAAAAATCAATTCATCAAAAGTAGCCAACAAATTGAAAGAATTTGACATTATAGCAGTACAGTGCTCCACCTCTGAAAAGAATAGGGAGTACCTTCTCAAATCTTCTTTGTGATTGAACTTGGCCATTATAATTTGTAGCACTGAATTTCAATTGTTTTGCTGTCAATGTTCTTTTTGTTTTACATTGATTTAATCATTGTGTGTCTGTTTTCCTGATTGTGCTTACCTTACTTTGCACCAGTTCTTATATCTTCCCTTTCTGTAGTAATTACATTCATAACTTCTTTCATCACATAATGCCTTTCTATTACATTTAAGCACCAATACATGTATAATCATGTCCAAAACAACAGGCATCTACTTTGTTTACAATTCTGTTCTACTATAAAAAAATAGTGTTTTAAGTATCTCTACCTCCAGCATCCCTGTAAAGTATTTTTCAGGATTATTAAATCACAGTAATTTGGTTATGAATATTGGAATGCCAGGATCTCAGAAAAATAAAAAAATAAATTAAAAAAATTGGTAGCCTAAGTAGGCTGCAGCATATTACCAATGATGGATGAGTTGTATGAGAGATTGTATTACCAAAGAAATCATTGAGGACATATATGACCAGAAAAATGCTGGTCATGTCACTGGTCATGCAGTACTACATCAGAACAAGATCTAGAGAAAAGCCTCCTCCATTGGGTATATTCTCTGTGTTAGATTTATGGAAGAACATGAAAAAGAATTACATGGGTTTGAGCTCTAATTTGATCATAGATCTACTGGAGCATCAAAGTATTTTTATGTTTTTCTTTTTCAAGCTGAAAGTAAAACATCATCTGAGTCTTGACTCCATCATTTTTCAAATCAGAAAACTAATACTAACAGAGGGGAATTGATTTACCTGGGTCGCAGGATTAACTGAGCTGATTTTTAGTCCATTCCCCTCTGTTCTACACAAGATGACTCCTATGTTTATGTTTAAAATAACATTTTTTCCTACCATCGTCAACTCTTATTTTTTGTTTTTTAGTATATTATGTCTTCATTTAAATTGGCTCATTTGTCTGGAAACACATCAGCAAAATAGACAGGGAAGGCAGTATCTTGGCCATTTGATGGATGAGGAAACTGAGTTCAAAGGAACTGAATGTCTTATGCAAAGTTATAGAGATACTATGGATTAGAATTCATGTCCTTCTTACCTTTCTAGTCTTCTTATACTTTCCTTTCTTCTACATACTCTATGATTCAGTTATATTGGCCCCTTTGCCATTCTTCACACATGACATTCAGTTTTCCAACTCTGTGCTTTTGCATTGGCTGTTTCCTATGCCTTTGAAGATCATGGAGAATAAGAGGAGTTTGTAACTTTGGAGAAGGGGAGATGCTGTCCCAATTTTCAAAAAAAGAGGAAGAGAATGGAGTCCACAAACTACATGCCAATGAATTTTATTTAAATTTCTTTAAAAATTCTAGAATATGCTATAAAAGAGGTGGCTAATTAACAAGTGAAAAGGGAAGTAGTAATTATAAAGAGCCAGAATGGCTTCATTAAGTAAAAGGTCATGCTAAACTGATCTATATCTTTTTTGACAGAGTTGAAAGATTGGAATATCAAGGGAATATTGTAAAAATAATTTTACTTTTATTTTAGTGAAGCATTTGATAAGGACTCTAGTGATTTTTTTTGTGGATAAGAAATATAGGTCAGATAATAATACAGTTATGTGGATTCAGAACTATTTGAATGGACCTAAAAAGTAGCCATTAATGGGTGACTGTCAACTTGGAGGGATGTCTCTAGTTCAAGAGCAGTCCTTGGCACTGAACTATAGAACATTAATAAACTTGGATAAGGGCATAAAATTTACAAGGGCACAAAGCTGGAAGATCCAGCTAACTCATCAAATGCCAAAGATAGTATCTAGACAGAAGAAGTATGAAAATGATAAAATTGAAGCGAGTCATGTAAAGTCTTACACTTGGGTTTTTTTTCTTAACAACTTTGTAAGTAGAAAGGAAGGAGATTTTTATGGGCAGCAGTTTGCCTAAAAAAGACCTGTTTTTGTTTGTTTGTTTTTTTCTTGTAAATTACTAAGTCAATAACTGGTGGCCAGAACTGTTGCTGTAATCTTATGCTATATGGAGAGACATAATGTTTACAACACAGGAGGTAAATATTCTATTTTCCTATGCCCTGGTCAGGTCACATCTGGCATACTGTTTTCAGTTCTGCGTACCATGTTTTAGAATGGTCATTGACAAGCTGGACAATATCCACAGGAAGACAAGCAGAATGCTGAAGGGTTTCAAGACCATGTCTTACAAGAGTTAGTTAGAAGAGTTAGGAATATTTAGCCCAGAGAAAAGAAGCCATGATATATGTCTTTACATATTTGAAAGGATCACACGTATAAGATGGATTCAGGATTCTACGTGGTTCTAGAGTATAGAACTAGGAACAATGGGTGGAGGTTGCAGAAAGTTATATTTGTATTCTCTATAAGAAAAATTTCCTAAATGTCAGAGCCATATAAAATTGCAATTGGATGCTCCAACTCATAGTAGGTTTCTTTCCCCTGGAGGTCTTCAAGTAAAGACTGATTAATAATTACATTATTAGTAATGACGTAGACAGGGTTATTGTAAAGGTAAAAGTTAAATTATTGGCCTCTAGTTGTCCCTTCCACTTCTTAGGTTTTAACAACCTCTATCAGAATTTATCAATTGAAGGAGTCAGAGCCAAGGTGGTGTAGTAAAGATAAGGACTTGCCTGAGCTCTCCTCTAATCCTTCCAAATGCCTTTAAAAATGAATCTAAACAAATTTTGAAGTGGCAGAATCCACAAAAAGATAGAGTGAAACAAATTTCCAGCCAAATACAACTTGAAAGATTGGCAGGAAAGGTCTGTTGCACCAGGGCAAGAGAGCATCGCCATCCCCCACAGGCCATGCCAGTCTAGACCTGACTCCAACAAATCAAGAGTAGGACTCCGGGCAACTGAATCACTGGTGGAAGTGGTGATTTCCAGACCTCTCAGACCATAGACCTCAGAGACAACTTAGAAGGTCAGCAGGAAAGGTCTGTCAGACATGAGTGAGAATAGAGCACAGTTCAGTGCAGGGTGTGGCAGCAAAGCCCCATACGTAGCAAACTAGGGGCAGGCCTTGGTAGACACTGAATCAGCACTAGCAGTGGCTACTTCCAGAGCTCTAATACCACAGATAGTAAGGGGTATTTAACAACTGGTAAGAAAAAGATTACAGTTTTATTTTGTTTTATTTTTTTTTGCACTAGCACTGAAGCAGGACTCTGTTGCTTTGCTGATACTGAGATCCAAGTTGCAGGCCTAGGTGGCAGTCCCACTGCAAGGAGGAGTACTACCACAGGAGAGTTTATGGCCACAGTGGAGAGGAGACTCTTATCACAGTTCTAGGGCAGAAGAGAGATTGTGGTCAATCACAGACCAGAGATTAGACCAGGAGAGTAGTAAACACACCTCTCCTTAGATCACGCCACCTTGGAAGAATTGAAAACTTGCAGGCTCCTAGAAGTATCTCTAAAAACAGCTGCACAAGGCCTGAAGCTTGGGACAGTGTGCCCTCCACCCTAGAAGCAGAGCCCTACCTTAACAAAGAGTTAAAAATAAAAAAAATAGGCTGAGGAAATGATCAAACAACAGAAAAGAAACCTCTAACTATAGAAAGTTACTGTGAAGGGGGCAGAGCCAAGATGACAGAGTAAAAGCCATGATTTACTTGAGCCCTCCCCCAAACCCCTCCACATACCTATAAAAATAGCTCTAAACAAATTCTAGAGCAACAGAATCCACAAAAAGATAGAGTGAAACAAATTTCTAGCCCAAGACAACCTGGATGGTTGATTGGAAAGTCTGTTGCGCTGGGCTGGGAGAGGAATACAGTTCACTGTGGGCATGTAGGCAAAGACTAAGCCTCAGAGAACCTGGAACAGTACTCAGGGGACTGAATTATAGGCAGCTGTGATGGTTTCCAGACTTCTCAACCCACAAACACCAAAGACAACTTAGAAGGTCAGTAGGAAAGGCCTGTGACCATGGTGAGAGAGAAGCTTGGTCCGAGCTCCAGTCCCAGTGCAGTCCTGGGGGTGGCTGCTTCTGGAGCTCTTGGCCCACAGACTGAGGAGGAATCGAGTACCTGATCAGAGGGGAATTGCAGGGATCTCTCTGCTGGTGCAGGATTCTCTTGCTTTGCCCGTGCTTGCATCTGGGTCACAGTTCTGGGTGGTGGTCCTAGGGCAAGGAGGAGCACTGGTGTGGTGGAGTTTGTGGTGACAGTAGAGAGGGAATCCTCCTCACAGTTCCAAGGCAGAAAAGAATGCTTGTCATCACTCATAGACCAGAGCACAGGCCAGGAAAGGAGTAAACACCTTACCTTTGATCATACCACATTGGAAGAACTGAAAATTTACAGGTCTCTAGAAGTATCTCTGAAAACAGCTACACAAAACCTCTGAAATTTGGGACAGTACATTCTCCACACTAGAAGCAGACCTCTACCTTAACAAAGAGTTTAAAACTCAAGTAATTGGCTGGGAAAATGAGCAAACAGTGCAAAAAAAAAATCTCAGACCATGGAATCTTACTTTAGTGACAAAGAAGATCAAAACATACAACCAGAAGAAGACAACAAAGTCAAAGCTCCTACATCCAAAGCCTCCAAGAAAAATATGAATCAGTCCCAGGCCATGGAAGAGATCAAAAAGGATTTAGAGAAGCAAGTAAGAGAAGTAGAGGAAAAACTGGGAAAAGAAATGAGAGCGATGCAAGAAAATCATGAAAAACAAGTCAATAGCTTACTATAGGAGACA